GGGCCGCATGAAATGCTACCGATGCGGAGGCATGGGCCACTTGCGCCGGGAATGCTAGGCACCAACGGAAGTCATCGCTGCAGCATCGGTTACCCTCTCCTGCCTCTAACCCTCCGCAGCAGGGAGTCTTTAATCCTCCGCAACAGGGAGCCTTCAACCCGACACCACAGGGAGCCACCGCGGGCGAAGCCGAACCGCCGCGAAGGGAGTGACCCGCAGCGCGGAGCGGAGATGAATTGGCAAAAGGATTTAACAGGACTTTGGACTTATAGCTACGGTAAAAGGATTTTTCATATGGTTTATGGGTTAACAGAAATGTGTGAATTCGGTGATTTATGGTGGAATTGCGGTGTTGTGCTACTCCGAACTCGGCACGGGCGCGCCGCCATGGCCAAAAGTCGCAGTGAGCGACCGCCTGAATTGCTGCGATAGCAGAGGCAGCGGCGGGAAGATCAAAGCCGCCGCCGCAGGAGCCGAGCCGCGCCGCCCCGGGATGGCCACTGAATTTGTGTTTCGTTAGGCTAGTTGTAAGAAAAATGATGGGTAGATCCAAATGTGAATCCAGAGGATATTGTACCACCAAATGAGAAGGGACCAGTAGGCTTTGCTCCAAATCGTGCTGTGCATTGATAGCCACGGGTGCAGCGGTGTCTGCAGTGGAGTCAGCCGGCAAGCAGTGAGCTCAGCGCGAGGGGGGGGAGTTTTCGTCCTGCTGTCTAGATCAATCAACACCTTTTCTGGGCTCTGATGAGTGTCCAGCGCCATCCATTTTCAGGGCTAGTTGATTCAGCAAGTGAGTTGTTGCACACTCCTTGGCGGATTTTGATTTTGCGGGACCGGAGCACCTTTTCAAGCCGGAGCGTTTCTCCCTCCGCCCCACAGCCGGCAGGAGCTACAGTTTAAGACCTACCAGCCGTAATAATTGTGACTCTTGTCAACAAAAGAAAAGATTCCTATTGCAATTAAAAGACCAGTGAAACTAAACAAGCGACACCTAGGACTATTGCTGTCAGGATGTTTTTCACCTAAGTTAGAAGGACCTTGTGTTTTGAAAAGTTTAAAAATGTTGAGATGTGTTAGAGTGATTGTAGAAGTGAGATGTAATGAGTGTGTTTTTTTGTATTCTTTAAGCTTTGTTTAGATGTGATAGATGTAAAAGCAAGCACTGAATTCAAAAGAATTTTTTCACAGGTATACCTTGAATAAACTTATGTTTAAGTGTATTTAAGTATAAAAATGCTATAGCAAAAACGTGAAGAAAGTTGTTTTAGCTCAAGATTTTAGAATCAGGCCTGTAAGTAAGTTATAGTAAATGCTATATATTATTTCTATAGTAAGTTTTATCTGTTATTAAGTAGTTTGAGTTAAGTTATCTATCAAGTGCCATTAAATGTTAAATACTGTTAAGGTTTAGTTTTGTTAAGTTTATCTCCTGTTAAATTTAAGTGTTAGATTAAGTTAAGTTTGAATTAAGTGCCGTTAAAAGGTAAATACTATTAAGGTTAAGTTTGTTAAGTTTATTTTCGGTTAAGTTTGAAGTCTGTTAAGTTTAAATTATATATAGGTTTAAGTTATGTAGGAATTGAAGCCAGTTGAGTTCTGTTGAAATTGATTTCTGTTAAGTTTGGGTATTATCAAGTCTAAGTTAAGTTAAATTCTGTTATAGTTAAGTTTTATTAGATTTAAGTGATTTTACATGATTTGCAAATAAGTCTGTTAAGTTAAATATTTTAAGTGCTTTAAATGCATACTACTTTTTCACCACTCCAAATTAACAAAGGACTGAGAACAGCCCAGCTGATGCCATTTGAGCCAAATGACTAAAGGATTACAGACTGAAAACTGACTTTGAACCTTTCTGAGAAACCCATGAAAAAGGGTGCATGTGATAATTTCAAGGACAGAAAGAATCATTTTCAGACTTTTTCACCTCCTCTCCAGGTTCGCATGAATGAAAACAGCTAACAGCTTTCTTTTCTTAGTCCAATTACCACCTGTCGTGCAATGCCTGATAAGGCCATAACACGCCGTTGCCGGACGACCAGGGAACTGATTGACATTATTGAATCATTATCATCTTTCCATATAAGAGGACCGGCAAAAGAGAACTGTCTTGAATGTCACAGCCCAAATTGTGCTGCTTGGGTTGCACTGTGTTGTGGGGGTTGTGATAAGACCTTTTGGGTGGATCAGTTGTCACTTTTCCATTTATGGTGCCACACCTGTAATTATAGACATATCTGGGAACATAATTGGGAGCGGGCACTACGGAATGAGACAGGGATAAACACTGCCTCAGCTGTAGACCTTTATGAATCTCATGAGCAGAAAATCTTGGCTTATTATCGGTGGGAGGTACAGTGTATTTTGAAAAGGGTTAAAGCTCAAAGTGCATCATATATAGCCTCGATAAGGTGTAAAAAACTGGTGCCTTTAACACAACATTCTGTTGTAGGTCCTATAAGAGGAGATCCCAATCAAGCATTAGATAATTGCATCTTCCAACAGTGGGTGGTTCAGCTTTGATTACTCTAATTTTCAGGGGATGGGTCAGCATAGGCGGACATGGCTACTCTGGTTTCATCTCTAGACCTGGAAATGGTGTCCAGGAGGCTTTGTAACCAGTGTAGAGGCTCTACTATTATGACACCTAAGAAATTGCCCACGGGGATGTTTTTGATTTGCGGAGATGGAGCCTGGAGTGGAGTGCCGGCCCGGCCATAGGGTGGACTTTGTTGTTTGGGCAGGTTATCATTATTCCACCTCTGAGCACTGGTTCTGATCCTTCTCCACAGGATCACATTTCTGACACTGAGTGTCCTGTTTGTCCTCAGGCCTTTGGTGCAGCTGAGCCCTGGCAGAACGGGGTCTGTACTTTTGGAGTTTGTTACGAGGCCCCCACACAAGCTGCTCTGAGGTTTGAAGTGTTGCCAAGCATAGTGGATAAGTACCCTCCTCTTTTCTTTGCTCCTGACAGTGAACAGGAAGCAATCCAAGGCACTTCTCTTGACATTTGGTAATGTCTCCTCCACAAGAGTTTCTGTGAAGAAAAACTTCACCATTATCTTACCTTGTTGTATCCAAAAAATGGTCGGTAGGATAATAGGGAAAACCTGCAAACTAACCTCCTTTCTCAAAAAGGAAAAGACGGGGGAAATGTCGGAGAATGACTTAAAGAAAAAGGCCATGAGACATACAGTTGAGAGAAAAGTAAAAGGGAAAAGTAAAGCAGTTCTCAGCCTTCTGATTTCTATAAACAATTAGACTCTCTCAGGCATCACTTTATAAACAATAAAGTTCTCAGACTGTCTTCCCATTACAAGCAGAACACCGTCTCTGGGAAAGGCTGGCCCCCTGGGAACAGATGTAGAAGTTTTGGGAACTCTGGTTCTGTTTTTAATAAACAATTGTAGGTATTCTAAAACAAAAGGAGTGGTTAGAGTTTTCTCTGTTAGCCTATCATGAACTTGGATTACAGAATATGCATGAAGTTCGTTAACACTGTTATTTAAGGTGATGGATTGATCAATAAATTGGAGTTCGATGCATTACCAGGATGGTCGTTTCTCCCTTCACTTCAATACTAAGCTAAGAATAGAATAGAATCTAAAAACAAGAGAGTTCTCTGTGACTCTGTTCCAGAGAGCTTGGCCCTGTGATTGGCCCTTAATTGTACACATGGAACATGAACCAATCACAGGTGCACCTATTGCATTCCACAGCAGCTGATAATTATTGTTTACATTCTCTTTCTGGGGCCTCAGCTTCCCAGAAGATGAAAAAATTCCAAAGAAAGGATTTCTATGGAAAAATGTCTGTGATATCTCACCTTTCCAAATTGTATAAATTAAAAAGAACAATGCTGATGTGAAATGAACAGGAAATTTCTTCACCTGTAAAATATACAATACTAACAAATCACTAAAACAATCCTACAATCTAAGAAAATGCAAAAAACAATGCAAAGAGGATTCAAGTCCAAGCAGCTGAGTTTCAGGAACAGTCCATGGGCTGAAAACATTCCTTTTGGACATATCTGAAAGTCCTTTTTGGTCCTGAAACAGACTTGCTGCAAAAAGTCCATCAATAGTTATCAAAAACCATTGACAGTCATAAAACAATTTCAAACAATTTCAAACAATTTGAACAATTTTTGGAATGTCCTTTTCTGGCTCTTCAATGTTTCAATGCTTCAGAGATGCTGCCAGCTATCTCAATCTTTTTTTATTATTTTTAATTTTTTTTTTTTAATCAAAAAGGTCAGCAACAGCAGAGCAGTGCCAGAGAAGGAAAGGCCCTGGGGGCCCTGGCCCATGATGGACCAGGAACCCCAAAACTGGCCCACCAAAGGACGAACCAGGATCGGTAGGAGAAATCACAACTCCTAAAGACATCAGGAGGCCAAGATATGGCCCTGGCCCAGGAACTTCTTGAACCCAACGGCCCAGGCCAAAACCATGAGGCAGGCTCTGCATTCCCACAGGCCTGCACCCTGCTGCCAGTACAATGGCAGCACGGGTTGTGAGACGCTTCCTTTCTCCAAAACCACTGAGGCATGCCAGCAGCAGGAAAATAGAAACCTTCCCCAGAAATCCCATCTTGTGTCTAGGAATATTTGTTTCCCACAGCAAACAAGCCATCAGCTCCTCCAGCTGTGCCCTCTCGCTCTGCAATGCAAATGCATCAGGTGTATCTCTTTCGGGACCCACCTGCTCCCCGCCGCTAGGGCGCAAGAGAGGAGGCAGGGATGGCAACCTCCATGGGGCAATCCCCGGAAAACCACCCCCCAACCCGCTGAGAATAGTGATCTTCTGCCGCTGACTCTGGGGTCATCCACGAAGATGCAGTCGCCGGCAGAACGCACACAGACAGCGGCGAAACAGTCAGGAGGGGCGGCGGCAAAACAGCTGGGAGGGGCGGCGCTGAGTCGCTGCTGTCACTGAAGGCGTCTCCTAGCAACATGGGCGCAGGCGCCGGAAGCGCTGTTTCTGCATTCTCAGACGCAGGCAGGGAAGCCGGTGAAGCCGCGGGCGGGACCGTCTGGAGAGGTGGAGATGGGATCGCCCGGAGAGGCGACTGCGCCGGCGGGGCGGGTCTTGGAGGCGGCCACGGCGCTGGCAGGGGCAGAGGCAGCGCAGGTCTTGGAGGCAGCCACGGGGGCCCAGCAAGTGGGGGAGCCTCGGGGACCGGTATCACCCCCATCGCTGAGCGGGGCAGGGGTCCGAGAGGCCGACTGGGAAGGGGCCTGCCGGACTTCCAGCGCTGGCTTGAGCGGCGCGGCCCCCTCCCATCCCCCCGGCGGGGGGAGAAGGACTGCTCCGGAGAAAGAGTAAAAAAAATTTCTTCGCGCGGCGAAGTTTCACCCCCCCACGCCAGGAAGCAGGGGGGGCTGGAAAGCAGCATCCCATTCGCCTCCAAAGGCTCTTCTCCCGCTGGGGATGGGGGGAACGGGGCAAGCCCATTGCAGTTAGAAATCCATGGAAAAACAGCTGCTCTCCGCTTCAAAACTGGGAAGAGCTTTCTAAATGCTGGGTAGACGGGAGGGAATCCGCACCCTTGGCCCCAAGCGAATCGGAAAATGGAGTCTATGCACTCCCACACGAAAACATCCAAGGCGTATGGCATATCAGTAAAGAACCCAAAAAACTTTGCCCATTGAAAGAACTCATAGAGATCTGTTTCTGACAGGAAAAGTCTGTCTTCTTCAACCCATTTTTGCCAGAGGGCAATAACTTTCTCCTCTGAAGGAGAGAAATCAACCTCTTCCTCCAACGTGTGTGTCCCCCATATGAACAGCCACAAACTTCTCAGGGCTGGTTCATCAGGAAGGGAAAAGCGAACAGTAGCTTTTGAAAGAGTCCAGCATGCTCTGGCCCGCTCCACGGTTCTGCTGCTCTTTCTGAACATCTCCCGGAGGTTTTTCAGGTTCACTTTGTGGTCAGCCTTGGCTGTGAACTCTGTCCATATCGGATCTTCAGTTCTTCAGCTCCTGGCTTGAATCCACTTCTGTGGTCACTTCTAAAGCAACCATCAAATGCTGCACATACAGGATTTTTCCCAGTGCAGCAATTTGCTCCTCTGGTCTTATCAAATTAATTTTTGCTCATACACGAGGGGTCACCAGATATTGCAGCGACTTGTGAGGGGGCCTCAGCTTCCCAGAAGATGAAAAAATCCCAAAGAAAGGATTTCTATGGAAAAATGTCTGTGATACCTTAAGGAGCTGGAACAGAGGCCAGACGGAGTTAAGAGGAGTAAAGTGGATTTTTACTGAAGTGCCTTCAAAGGCCACACCCTGGCAGTACCGGAGCCACAGATGTGGCTCTGCCTGGATGGCTCCAAGATGGGAGCAAAAGAGGGCTTGGTCACGAGATCCCACATTTTTATAAGTTTTAGTCCATTTGCATATGGGAGTAAACTGCCCAATTAATAGCTTCAAATTTTGAAGTTTAGGTCTCCTTGCTTGCTTGCCTGCTCTCCTCTTTTCACGTTGTTTGTACTTTGGGCCTGAAGTTTGAAGAGATTGTCCTTGAGTCTCCAGCTAGAACAGGATTGTTTTGTCTTTACCACCCTGAGAACAGATCCCAGTAACACTTAATATAAAGCTAAAAGCTGTACAACAAAGCAAAACAGAAAAACTTAAAACCTAAGGTATAAGTTGTCTGCTGACAGACAGCAGGACAGAGCTCTCCTTTGCTTTTAGTTAGTTTTTAGCTCTCTGAGGCAGAGAAGTTCCCTAGACTCTGGTTTTTCTTTTTCTTTGGAGCTGTTTAAACCTGCTCTGGACTGAACACCCAGAGAGCACCGGCACCTCGCACCTGTGGCCCACCTGGCCAAGCCTGGGCCACAGCATTTCCAGTGCTGGAGGAACTGATAATAGCCTGATAAGACACTGATAAGACACTGATAAGACACTGATAAGACACTGAGTGTGCGGAGCTACAACCCAAGGAGGGACTTTGGGAGTTTGTCATCTATTTTGGAGAAGCAGGAGGTTTTATTGCTAATATTGTTCAATTTTTGTGTGGTTAATGCTTTGCCTGTAAAATAAACAGGTTTTTTTTCCACTTTTCTCCAAGGAAATATTTTCCCAAACTGGCTGAGGGTGGGGCTGCTGAATCTGCATTCTAGAGGAAACTCCTTTTGGAAGGTTTCAACCAAATTTGCCATAAGCTAGGACAGGGTGGTGGAAAGAAGGGGGAACCCCCAGTGGCTGGATTGAGGGGAGGCTGGAGAGGGGGACCTTGGGACCCCAGAACCTCCCAGAATCCAAAAGCAGGACCCTGGAGAGGGGGGATCCCCAGGACCCATGGGATCCCCAGCAGCCCTGAGACGGGGGATCAACCATAACCCAAGAGGGATGAGACTGGAAATGGAAAACTCCTGGAGGCTTTTTTTAATTCACTCTTGATTTTTGGACATCAGGTGACTTCTAGAAGTGGACGTGGGTGGGAGGAATCCCCAACCCAAAGGATTCAGGCCTTGTTTTTCCCCAAACCAGGATTTTCCCCAAACCTTCCCACTGTGACATCCCCCCTGTCCAGCTCTGAGAGAGCTCAGTCCCAAACCTGACCCCAATCCTGGTCTCAGTCTCACTCCACATATAGACACACTCACAGTTTTGTATTTAATCACATCCCAGTCCCAGACTTGTCTATCCCCACATGAAACCCCAACCCCAGCCTTAAAGCCAATCGCATGTCTAGCCTTAAACCCAATCCCAGCTCTAATCCAAATCTCAGCCCCAACACCAACCCCAGCCCCAATTCCAGCCCCTTCCTAAATCCTCAGCCCCAAACCAAATCCCAGGTTCAGCCCTTCTGGGGGTTTGGGGGTGTCTCTGTCCCTCTGACCCCGATGATGTTTGGCTGGGGTCACAGCAGGGCTGAGAGGGACAGAGACCCCCCCGGCCTCCCCAGGTGTGAGAAGGTTGGAGAGCCCCCCGAGCCTCGAGCACCCTCAGCGGTGAGAGGGACACAGAGCCCCTGGTCCCCGGCCCTGCACAGGCATTCATTGAGGCCAGAGGGATGGAGACCCCCCAAGCATCCCCCAGGGTGAGGGGAAGAGACCCCTGAGCATCCCCTGGGCTGAGAGGAACAGAAACTGCCCCGAGCACCCCCTGGCAAACGGGTATGAGAGGGAGGGAGACACCCCAGGCATTCCCTAGGGTGAGAATGATGGAGAACCCCTGGGGAATGGCCTGGGGTTACAGGGACAGAGACAACTCTCCCAAACCCCTCCCAAGCATCCCCCAGGGCGAGAGGCACAGAGACCCCTTGAGCATCCCCTCAATACTGGAAAAAATAACCTTGGTAGAAATCAAACTTTGCATAAAATACTTTGATGAATATTTGATTTCTCACAAGTCACATGTGATGAAAACACAAACAAATCCCAAATAATAATTACCCAATAACAGAAGCAATTCTGTGGCAATTCCAAGTTTCATCGGTTTCTGCACAGCTCCAACTCAGCTGCTGGCAGGTTCCAATAAAACAAACAAGAAATTTGGCCCAATACAGATTATTAAAAGGAAGGGGAAGCTCTCTGTAGCTGTCACAAAGGTTAAAGGGACAAAGAGAATAATGATTCTCACATTTGGCAAAGAACCCAAGCCTGGGAATTCAGGAGTTTTTCAGGAATATGGCTACTTGAGCTGGGCTTCTTGTAAGACTTTTAGCAACCTTTTGTTCCTCACCATGGGGTGAATGAACCTTGTCTGTCTTGCTGGTAACATTTGCTGCCTTTCCTTCAGTGATTTGAACAAACTTTCCAAGGAAGGACAACAAAATATTTTCTTTACATTCCGGGCCCACAACAGCCATTTTCCTCATCACTTCTCCCGTAAGTTGCTCAGAGGAAGCTGCATCCAAGTTTCCAAGAGTTCCTCCAGAGAGAACCACAACGTCCTAAGAGGAGGGAACCATGCTGTTGCCAAAGGCACTTGGGGTCAGAAAAACGTGCCCTGAACTCACTGTGCCAAAATAATGTCACAATCTGGTTAAGAAAATTTTTGGAGAGATGCCTCTGCCCCAGTTAAAGTGCTAACGATACCAAATCCAAGGTGAATTTCATTGAACTGTAAATGTGAGGTAGAGAAAGAGTTGGAAAGAAAGAGAAAAGGGAGGACAGCAAGGGAGTGTCAGGGACAGAGACCTCCCCTGGAGCAGGGCAAGTGTGACATTGTCCCCTGTGTGTGTGGCATTTCCAGGGTGGGGGTTTTATACCTGAGCTGCATTGTCCTGCAGCCAGAGGTTCCTGTGCCAAGGGCTGGCAGTGATTCTGCCCCAGGCACTTCTCAGCACCTTCCCAGCCCTGACTGATTGAAGCTCTCTGTGCCTCTGTGCTGTGCCCAGGGTGGCTGCAGGCAGTGCCCCAGCTCTGCTGGGCTGGGAGAGGAGCTGCTCCTCAGGAGAAATGTCTTTTTGAAGCTCTTCTTGGTTTGCAAGGAGCTGCCTCTGGGCCAGGAGCCCAGCCCAAGTCATCAGCACAGACAGAGCACAAGGACTTCAATGAGCCTCTCGGGGCTTTGATGTTGTTTACATCAAACTCAGTCCCTCAGAGAGTGTTCAAAAAACTTCTCAAGAACTCAAACTTAAATTGAAAGTGTGAAGTTTCTTGAAGTTGTTATGGGTCCCACTGAGGGACACGACTGAGAAAGTGCCCCCAGGTTCCAGTTAGAGCAGAACACTGGAGGCAGTGATGACAGGAGGGGACATGCAAGGGAAAGGTGTCTCTGGTGCTGAGCAAAGCTGGATGTGTTTGAGGAATGCAAAGGGCCAAGGCCTGAGCCCCAGCCCCTGGCCAGGCAGATTCTGTCCCTCCCTCCTTGCTCAGGGCTCTTCCCGGGATGGGCACTGGTATGTGAGGATGTGCAATGGCAAGGGCAGGAGCATGGGGCGGCCCCTGCCAGGCTGCTGAGCAGGGACAAGGAGGCAATGAGGCCCCAGGCCTGCAAGGGTCACTTGTCTCCTGCTCCTGCCTCAGGCCCAGGGCCAGCAGCCATGGCCAAAGTGCTGCCCAAGGTGGCTCTGGCAGGGCTGTCTTGCAGCTGCTGCCCATCCCTGTGCCCTGTGCAGCCCAGGCTGTCCCACGGTGTCCCTGCCCTGCGCCTCTGTCCCTGCAGGCTGTCAGCATCCCCCGGCTACCCCACCTGACTGGGCCCTTCCTTTGCTGACAGCTCTGCCTCCTGCCTGCCTCTGCCTGCTCACACAAAGCCTGGGGCTGACCCAGACTCCTTCTCGGGGATGTGTTGCACCACAACCCTGCCCTGGGAGGGAAATTTCTTTCCATTTGGGTCCTGTCTGGCCCTCCCTATCTGCCCTTCGCATTA